CAATGACATCACTCTCTGACTCTGTAAGTTGGAACTCGCCGAGGAATTTGAAAATCCCATCTCCGGCGACTCTTCTTTCCTCCTCTTAGTTTTCTCAACGAAAGAATATAATTCAATTTAGATATAGTTACATATACTGCGTAATTTGGCCGATGAGGTTCTTAGAATTCGTTTTCTGGTGTGGGTACCCCACCCAACGTTCCGAAGCTCAGACTGCAACCTCCTCGCAGCCTTTCTCAGAGGATGAGGGGTCGTTAGTGCCTCTGTCTACCGGGACGCGCCACCGTAAGAAACGCGGAAGGTTGATAACGGCAACAGCCGCAACGGAATGGAGGCCATCGCTGGGATCTATTTCGGAGGACAATATGGTGCAGCAGAGAGAGAGAAGCAACGCGCGGAACCGCAAGGTGGAACCGGAAAGGGAGGTTAAGAGGAGGAACGCCGACGGCTCTGGTGCCGCTTCCAAGGCCCGCCACCGTAATTACGGCGACGATCACAAGTAATTAATCTCTCCTCTTTTTTTAGTCAGTAACTTATAAGAAACACGTTATAATTAAATTAGTGATAGTAATAGTGATCGGTTTGTTGGCAAGGCGTTTGATTTTTTTCCCATCTGCAACAACACACACAAAAAAAGGATAAAAAAACGCAGAAATATAAACCTTACGGAAGCATTTATAATTGGTATTTGGGAAGAATTTATGAGACGTGCCTATTTCAAAGATTAGGTGTGCGTTCCTTTTCGCTTGAGGTCACTCATTTGCTGAGTTGAGTTGACTTCCATTCGCTTGAGGTCACTCATTTGCTGAGTTGAGTTGACTTCCATTCAAGAAATTCATAATTCATGATGCATAATACTGATATATAGTCGCAATCATGCAACAAGATATGTAGGAATTTCTTTCTTTGTGCAGCTCGATCAGAAAACTCTTGCTGCTATATATATCGTGAAGATCCAGAGATACTGAGGATTTGTTTGTGTGATTGGAAAAAGGGAATTCTAAAATGATATGTATCAGTAACCAAAATTAAGGGACCACTTTTACAGATTTCTTTCTTTCTTTCTTTGTGATTCCCCTTTAGAAGAAAGGAAAGCTCTGCAGTTCTATGTATGTCTTATTTTTTCTAATTCATGTCTAGATTTTTTTTTTGGCCTGATAATGAAATACGTAATTAATGATTGGAATAATTGCAGGCGAGTTGCTGTTGCGACGGTGATGCCAGCGTTTTCTCCGACGCCGTTCATGTTCTGAGAGTCAAATTTGGACATAATATATATATATATATATATATATAAAGGAAAGCAAAAATGTATATATAACAACACAATATTTTGTTGTTGGATTAGGAGAGAGTATAAATAAATAAATGATGCATAGCTTTCAGTGTGGTGGCTTAATTATTATTGTGAGATAGAGACCATGAGCTTCTATCATTCATTATTGTTGCTCTTTCCTTTGTAAATGAATAATTGATGATGAAGCCCCTTTAATTTCTTCCTCTCCTGTCTGCCTAATTTCCTGCCTTTAATTTTCAATGACTTTTAAGTTAAAAGCCGTGGGAGGAAAATATAATAAAGTACAGGAAAAGATGTTCCACTGCTTCATTACACTGATGGGCATCCCAAATAGCTGAACTTCAAGCTAATACGTTACTCCCTCCGTTCCTTATTATAAAAGACAAATAACCAAAGTACGTTGATAAAAAAACAGTTAAAATTAGTTAAGAACAATTAATGTGTAAAAAGTATAATTTTTTTTCTTCAAAAATACTCTCATTAGTAAGGAGAGAGAGCATGAGAGAGAACAATTAAATTATTAAAAGAAAGAGAAGTGGGAGGGAAAAAGAGTATGAGTTGGATATAATAAATACAAGTGAGGCGAGTCTCTGCTCTTTGAGGGCGGGGTTCGAATCCTCACTTGTTAAAAAAGGGTACCGGGGAGGGCTTTACTTGTTGCCCGGCCCGAATCTGGACTAGTCGATCGTTCGGGTACAACTGGCCCAAAGAGTCTGGGGCTCAGAAAAGGCGCGGTTGGATACCGGATGGTTTATATCAAAAAAAAAAAGAGGGTAAAATAGGAAATCAACGCAAAAAAGTAGAGACAACTTTTAAGTGTCTCTTATATATAGGAACAGGTCATAAGCATCAAATGTCTCTTATAATAAGGAACGGAGGGAGTAGTTTATGATATTCATTCAGATTTTTTCTTTGAAAACATATTAAGTCGTCTTGAATATATACGTGTGATGTGTAAAAGAATACATCATTGGTTCAACAATTAAATTAAGATGTCAAAACGTAAGAAAAAGTTCAATCACACCCTATAATATAATCAAGCAAAACATAAAAATCTAATTAACAAGAAGGGAGAGCCAGGAGAAGTTGAAGAAACGTTCAGGAGGGGAAGAGGCGAACGAGCTGGACTGGGGAGTACAGCATGGTAATAAGAGGCAACGGGGGAAGATATAATGTTGACATCTTAGATTTTGAGAATTTTTTGTTGTTGTTGCCAAACTTAGATTTTGAGACTGATGATTTCGGTTAGCCACCAGATTATAGTATCAAAATTTGATGCTGAAGTACGCATGATTGTTTTTAAGGACAGAATGCCCGTAAAGATAGAGAAGAGAAAACAACATATATAAAACTAGGTTGTAACAATGGGGTCAAGGGCCAGCAACATGCGTGTTCCCAGACGTTGTTTGACAACCAAGTATAATTTGGCCTAAAAAATATAACGTTGAAAGAAGTGGGTGATACAATAACCTTGGCCTGTGCCAAAGAGGGGGTACTAAGTTTGTACAGATATCTGATTCTGAAACAGAACGAACCATACATGAACACACATCAACTTGTACGTCCCACATGCCATCTTCATCGCTTTGCCTGAGAGAGAAGCTGACGCGCTGCTAAGCACCGAACCACATATAGGCCGCAAACGCCACCATGGGGAAGAAATCTGCCGTGAGACCACATATTCTAATCATCCAATCTTCCGCTAATGGCCTTGTAGTTTAGTAATTACTAGTATTGCAACTCTCTGTGAGTCCTAGACAGCGAATCCAATCCCGCTTTTAAACTCGGCCCATTATTAATGCCAGTCCCTGATTGGAAAAATATGAAATCTTCCCACACTACACCTCCATGGCCGAAATTCCAATTTCGAATCATTATTGGGCCTTAGATGTACCTCAAGCTCAGACTCAGCCTAATACTTTTAAGATCCAACAGCCCATATGTCTGTGGATGAGGCCCTCTTGTATTCTGTGATGCTCATCTTGTTAAAACACAACTGTGATCAAAACCAAACCTCAACTGTGAAGGGGCCTCCTATTCTTTGACGCAACAGACGTAGCCGAATGACTAAATATATATATATATATATATATATCCTCCAGAGGGATGCCAGTGAGCGACCCCCAGACTTTTGAAAGTCCTCATCAGGTTTATCATTACCCAATGCGTGCATCCATCGGATCGGCCTATCTATACAGTCTGGTTTGTATGATCAGCTTTTTACTCCCACTCTCGAACTTTTCTCATTGCATGATTTAACAGCGAAGCCTTGTGTTAGAGACAAGAATATTAATCACACTTGCACTGTCACTTTCCCCCCTCTCCCTTTGGACCCCACTGTGATTTTCCTCCATGAAGCATTCGACAAGACTGATGCAGAGATTATACGTGGAAGATAATTTGCTGTACCCAATTCTGAATAATCCAGGCTGGGGATAGGAACATCATATTATTACGGGTGCCAGCTATGCTGATATCAATGCCCGTACTCACCCATCTTATATCAGTATATGGGCCGATTTCCTATTGAAGTCAGATCTTCAACCTATAGCAGCCACTGAGTGACTAATATCAATTGATGGTCTATACAGAAGAACATTTATAGTAAGAAACGCGAGTCCCCACTTAGCAATAATAAATCATAGTCTCTAATTCAAAATAATTTGGGTCTGAGTTACAAAAAATAAAAGAGATCAGTGAAGCCAGTTGTTATCATGGCCAAGCTGAATTTTGACAGCAAGCATGCGTAAAGAATATGCGTCCGGCTTCTCTTCTTTATCACCCTCATCTATGTTGCCGTCCGCTGCCACAAAACGATAAGCTTTCCACCTTAAGATGAAAGAGCGAGCATGTGAAAAAGCCTGAATCAATTGCCCAAAATAAGTAAATTAAAAGATTATGAGTAAAACTGCATCATCAAAAAAAAGAAAAGCATTAAATACACCTGATAAATAAGATTAAGGTGTTTGATGCTACTTTATTCTGAAAAAAATTTAGTTAACCCCGGCTGAAAATAGCCTTGTTATCATGAACTTTGCTTTTTGATAAAATGCCACTTCAACCTATGACGCACTCAAAGAAAGGAAACGTAAGTCCGACACCGGCCATTCTCTCTTTTTTATTTTTTGTTTTATTTTTTTGACACCCAACATAATAAGCAAAGAAAACGTGAACCTGACGTGTTTTAATTATACACGCATGATGAAATGGAAACAATTCCAGTACTCGTAACTTTGATAAGTATCCTAAACTCATTAAATCTGAATCATCTATATCTCATTTAGATAATTCAGATTTGATTTCTTTTTTCTTTTTATTTATTCAAAATAATTTTTTTAATATATATATAATCCAAAATAGAGATAATCTCTTAACTATTCTTCTATTAAAAAATAGTTAATTTTTTTATCTAAAAATAATTAATTAAAAATTTTAAATTTGAACTGTTCAAATGAGATATAAATTGTTCAAATCTGATAAGTTTAGAGTGTTCATCGAGAGATAAGCATTGGAACTGGTTCTGAATGAAACTTATCCAACATATTGATATTTCCTGATAACCGGAACTGACGTGTTTCAATTATACTCACATAAATCAAACATGGTGTTGGTATTTCCTCACTCAAAAAGTCTTATAAATTTGAAGACAGGCTTTAAGGTTTTATCACTCAAAGCCCTTTAATTAGTCGAAAACGTAACTGAAGAGAGGCATTTAGGCAACTCCGCATCCATCATGTCTTTGGCAGCTTCGCCACCCGTCGCTTCATCCCAGCTCCCTCGGCGCTCTGCTAATTATCATCCCAGCATTTGGGGAGATCATTTCATTCCATATGCCTCCGAATCTTTGGTATCTTGCCACTATGTCTTTTCAGCTTTATTCCCCACGTATAGCGATCATTATGAAAGAAACGAATCTAATACTTTTTGAACGCAGGATATAAATATATTCACTAGTATCTGAGTAGCCTATTATTAGAGATCGATATATACACACCATGTATGAAAGACAATATGCATGTATAGTTCCCCGGCATTTTTATGTTATCAAGAGTAATAACACAAAGTTGAATCTGCAGAAAGTTACTGACAAAATGGAGGAGCATATCAAAACGCTCAAGGAAGAAGTGAGGAAGATGCTCATCCTTCCAACCGAAAATCTCGTAGCAAAAATGCACTTGATCGACGCAATCCAACGTTTAGGAGTTAACTACCATTTTGAACTTGAGATTGATGATATATTGCAGTGGATTCATGATAGTTACGTTGAAAATGGTCAAATCACTTTGGAAGAAGATCTCCATACTCTTGCCCTTCTCTTTAGGTTACTAAGGCAACATGGCCATCGCATCTCACCTGGTATGTCTCAGCCTCTCTGCCTAGCCACTTCAAACACCATTTTGCTCTCTCAACCACCCAACATACATAATCAACATGACATGATAAATTAAAACATCTGATCACTTTGTTTCATATAAACCAGATGTGTTTGAAAAGTTCAAGGATGAGCAAGGTAATATCAGTGAAGGACTAACCACTGATGTAGAAGGAATGCTGAGCTTATATGAAGCTGCCCATCTTAGAGTTCACGGAGAAGATATATTAGATGAAGCTCTTGCTTTCACTTCCGCTCATCTGGAGTCTATGATCGTCCATTTGAATCCTTCTCTTGCCGCAAAAGTCAAGCACAGCTTAAGGCACCCACTTCGCAAGAATCTTCCTAGGCTAGAAGCTTGGCATTACATATCTTCTTACCACGATGATCCTTCCCACGATGAAACTCTACTTGTCCTGGCAAAGTTAGATTTCAATATGCTTCAAAAGATGCACCAAAATGAACTTGGAAATATTTCCAAGTATGTTTTTCTAAATTATACTAATAGTCTTAATATATATATATTTACGTTGTATCCAAGTGACTCGCCCAAGTCATATTGTTTTTGAACTTTTTTTTAATCTATAGGTGGTGGAAAGAATTGGGTTTTAGGAGCAAGTTGCCTTTTGCTCGCGACCGGTTGGTGGAATGTTACTTGTGGATTTCGGGAGTGTTCTACGAACCTCGCTATGCTTTGGCGAGAAGGATAACCACCAAAGTGATATGTTTGGCCTCGGTCCTTGATGATATATATGATGTTCATGGCACACTTGAAGAACTACAGCTTCTCACGGCAACAATTGAGAGGTTTAAGTTCACTCGAGTCTAAATTACTATCCCATTAAGAAATTTTATTTTAAAATTAGAAATTCTACTGTCAAAATAACTAACGATTTATCGGGAATATCATTTTTCAGGTGGGATATAAGCTGTCTGGAATTGTTGCCGGAGTACATGAGATTTTGGTACCGAGCACTATTGGATGTTTATGATGAAATCAAGCAAGAAATGACCAAAGAAGGAAGAGAATTTTGCATTAAGTATGCCAAAGATGAAGTAAGACATACTTTTATACTAATTAACTCACCCACTTTTTTTCTATTTTGAACACTTAGATTGTTGATTATCTTATAATAATTAATGTGAACATAATTTGTCTGAGTCTTCATATTCCATAATGGTCAATCAAATGTTAGTGAATGAATAATTGTCTACAAATTAATATAATAAATAATATAAAGAAACGTGACTAATGAAGAGTGAAGAACCCAGTCTCTTTAAAGTCGGTATATATATTGCAAGAGTTTATCACTACTTCCACTTACTCTGCTACCACAAGTTGTTTATCATGGTACAACCCACGCACAGATGAGAAGATTGGCCCAAGCTTACTTGGTTGAAGCCAAATGGTATAATAGCAATAACACACCGACAATGGAGGAGTACATGGGCAACGCACTTGTCTCTTCAGGATACGGCCTGGTCATAGCCATAAGTTTCATTGGGATGGGTCCTATAGCTACCGAGCAAATCTTCCGGTGGTTATCAGATAACCCCAAAATTGTTACGGCGTCACAGACCATTAGCAGGCTGATGGATGACATTGTTTCCAACGAGGTACCGACATTGTTAGAATTCTGAATCATTTAGATGTTTGATTTATACATAGAGAGAGAGAGAGGCAAATAATATATAATTTGTGTGTTTGTGGCGTATGTAATTGGTTAGGATGAGCAGAAGAGAGGGGATGTAGCTTCGGCCATAGAGTGCTACATGAAGGAACATGGGGTGATGAAGAGAGAAAATGCGATTGAGGAGTTGAAGAGGCAGGTGGTGAGCGCGTGGAAGCATTTAAACGAGGAACTGCTTGAACCTACGCAAGTGCCAAGGCCTTTGTTGATGCGAATTCTGAACCTGAGTCGCGTAATGGATGTGCTTTACAAGGATTCTGATGGCTACACTCATTCCACAAACTCAACTAAACATCTCATCTCTGCTTTATTCGTACACGATTTTCCCCTTTAAAAATGTGATCATAGATGACAGGTAGGTTTGAACTTAACAAATGCGTGCTCTCACGTGCTACCTACTACCTTCTGTACTTATTATAAGAGCTAGTTTGATTTTTAATTTGATTCTAAATATAAGATCTAAATCCACTTTATCTCTTATATTTATTTATTTTTCTTAAAGTAGTCTTTGTAACAAATACACATATTAAAGATGAGAGTACATTCCATGCTCATCATAATTTGGACCATCCAGATCTATTTTAAATAGTTCAAATTGAATTTAAATTTTTTATATATCTCAATCAACTTTTTGTTTCAATAGATACAAAATTTAAAATTAATATAATATCACAACTAACATATCTTTAAAAAATAAATTTATCATTGAAAAAATTGTATATTAAAAATTTTGAAATATGAACCATCTATGTCAGTTTTAAATGATTTTAGATTGCATTATAATGATGAGCACATAATGCTCTTAGATTGCATTATAATGATGAGCACATAATGATCATCACTGTGATGAGGACCCATTAAAGATTTCATTAAATAGTAGTTTTAAGTGATACACATGATTACCAAAAGTATTATAAGAAAGACAACACCTATTTATTGCATACAGCTAACTTAACAAATTCTCATAATATACTCAAATTAGTTTATTAGTTTTTTTAATTAAGGATTAGCACTAATTGTTAGTGAATGAAGCAGTAATTATTGGCGAATGAAGTTGGAGAGGTGGTGGGTCAGTTTCATTATGCCAGTAGTGACGAGGATGAGTGACAGCTTCCTGATGGAGACTGATCTATCTGTCTTGTGTACAACGACATCCATCCTCCTCGTTTCTCCATTCTCCCGAATGCCTCTTGATTCTTTCCCAGTTTGCTCATGTCTTTGAATTTTTTTCCTTAACCAAATAAAGAAATTAATCTAAAAATACTCAAACTGGTCGAACAAATTAATCTTTTATAAGGCATTCGTTGAGAACGGTGGTTTGAATGGGCATGGCGATGGAAGCAGTGAAGGTGATTCTGATGCCTGGGAAGGGCTGAACTGAGCACAGAAAGCCTTAAGACCGTGAATTTTGCCCGTGGTGTAGGCCGAGTTGGCCTCAGAGATCTCGTACACCTAGCCACCGGGGGTTTCCATGGCCACCAAGGGCATGGCGGCGGTGGCGGCGGTATTTATAGGATTGAAAGCCGAACAAATTAACGGGAACCAGATCCTCTCAGAATCAATTTTCTCAGCATCCTAAAATCCAGTCCGTAACTCTCACTGAACAACATAGAAACATTCTATTCTAACGTAACAAGAAAAATAGAAACATTCTGACAAGAATTAATCTCAATTATATAGTGAGGATTTGCCATAATTGGTGTTAATCATCAACACTCAGTGATGGGTCATGAATTCATGCGTCAAATTATTACGCCATGACACCGCTGGAAAATCTCAGTACTGTTTCATGGTGATGCTATCAACCGTATTCATATATAGATTAGGAGTTAACTTACATAAGCTGATCCGGCCAAAAAAAAATTTACATAAGCTGAAAGCTAAGCGGGAAAAAAAAAGAAGAAATATTGAGAATGAAGTTTGGTTTACAGATGTGAAAAAGTCCCTCGCAAGCATGATACGGACAACAATTCGCTCTCAAAGAATCAGGTCTTAACACAAAACTTGTCTTTAGGATATCTAAGTACAGTACTTGAGGGGTCACGAAATGTAGAAACATTGCATTTGCATGGTTCTCTTTCACCAGCCGAATTTGACCCTCAACAAAAGTCTTGTCTCTGATATAGGAACCCAAACGCATGTACTATAGTCTCCCACATGCCGTGGTTTCATCTTCCCATCATGTTATGTATTATGGGCAATGCAAATAATTCAGGGGATGCTTCAACTCAATGAGAAATTCGTAAGAAAGCTATATAGTTCATGTGGCCACTGAGGAGAGAGCAGCCAAAAGTTAGGGGGTCGAAGGAGAAGAGAGAAATTGAAGACGCAGTGCTAGAGTTTGTGGGACCGGACAGCTTGATGACTTGGCGCACTGTAAGCTTTTAGATCATCTAAACGGACTGGATTTTAGGACGCTGAGAAAATGGCTTCTGAGAAGATCCGGCTCCGAACAAACGCAAGGGGTGATGATTTCACGTGCTATATATGTTGGATCAAGCTTATGATACCTTCACGTTAAGAAAAGCTGATAATAACGAAAGCCCAAATGCATCGGCCCGTATTGGGTTCGCTCAAGAAACTAGATTGTTTGCACCAAGAGAAACTAGATAGTTCATCCGCCCGTCAGGCTCCCCCCACCCCCCTCTCGGCCTCCCCAATCGCTTTTTCTCTCTTCATCATCCCATGTTCCTTCACGGAGTACTCTACGGCCGAAGAAGCATCCCCTCTCTTCTGCTCATCCTAACCAATTACATACGCCACAAACACAAATTATATATTATTTGCCTCTATATATATATATATATATCAAACATTTAAATGATTTAGATTTCCAACAATATTGTGGGTGCCTCGTTGGAAACAATGTCATCCATAAGCCTGCTGATGGTCTGTGACGCTGTAACAATTTTGGGGTTATCTGATAACCACCGGAAGGTTTGCTCAGTAGCAATAGGACCTATACCAATGAAACTTATGGCTATGACCAAACGATTGCACATGCACTCCTCCACTACTGCTAGTGTGTAATTGCTGTTGTACCATTTGGCTTCAACCAAGTACGCTTGCACCAAGCTTTTCATCTGCGCCTCCTACCATAATTAAAGAGATTGAGTTCTTTATCTTCGTTGTTCATCATCACGTCTTCAAAAATGAACATCATCACGTCTTACCTCTTCTTTGGCGCACTCGATGCAAAATTGTCTTCCTTCCTTGACCATTTCTTGCTTGCTTTCATCGTAAGCATCCAACAGTGCTTGGTAACAAAATCTCGCCTATTCTGCCAAGAATTCTGAGCACCTTATATCCCACCTAAAAAATGATATTCCCCAGAAATCGTTAGTTTAAGCTTTGCAAACAGAGATGCATATGATATGGGTAGACTGCGGAAAATTTCGTCCCAAATTTCCCAAAGGAAATCGTCGGACATGTGCCTTCATCCCAGATTTGCCATTTCTACTTTAAAGACTTCTTCAGAACCTGGCCAGAAAGAAATAATACTCCTTTAGAATCGTACTCATAATCACATAATTATATATAGCTGCTGAAAACAATAAAAATATTGAGCAAAAAAAAAAAAGACACACTCAATATCAATGGAAGTGGATAAAATTAAAATTTAAAAAGAAAAGAAAATAAGAGGACAAAAGAAGATTTACTTGGAACAAATGTGAATAAAATACCCTAAAGGAATTGGTGGCAAAATATATACATAAGCAATAGAATTTTTAAGCTGGCACAAACATTTTGTTGTCACCTTATATAAGTGATGTTGTTAGTTGTTACCTCCCACGCAATTTATATTAAGCTCCAATGCAAATTTCTTAAACATTATTGAGGACTAAGGAATAATTGACATATATAGAAAGTTGCACGCTTCTTACTAAAGGAAATCCTAAAGGAAAAACACACTGTGCTTTATTCCCAAGGCAACTTATTATACTGCGAAAATCACTAAAAAAGATTTTGAAAATTAAAAAATTACATATAGGAACTCCTTCATAAAAATTATTGTCATTTGCTTATTAATTGTCATCAAAACCTATGGTAATATGGTAATAGTTGTCTTTTTACAATTTTTCTATATTCAACGTCTTTTTTTGCTTAATTTCCAACTGAGGCAACTACGCCAAATTACGCTTAATCATTTTCACTTGCATTTTTTCATCTTGTCATTTTTTTCCACCAGTGTTATCATGCATAATATGTGCGTGCGTGTGTGTGTGGAGAATTGACCAAGGAATTATGGGTTTGACGTGCTGGTGGAGACAATGACGGAGGATGGATCTCTAGATATTTGGAGAAATGAAAAGCGAAATCCAAGTAGGGCTTTGTGGGGCCTTGCGGCACGATGGGAGACAGAGACCCAACGGAAGGCACTGCGCATTTGGATGGCTTTAAAGCTTCCAAAGGCGCACCGCATTATCCTTTCCTTTTTAGGGACTGTTTAGAATGGCGTTGAAAAGTGCTTGTATTCACATTTTATATGGACCAGTTTTGTTACTCATCAGAGTTATTAAATCTCGATTGTTTAAGAGTCCAAATTTAAAATTTTTTATTAATTATTTTTAAATAGAAAAAATTATTTTTTGAAAGAATGATAGTTAAGAAATTTTTCTTTTTTTTAAAATTCTATACATATTAAAATAATTATTTTAAATAAATAAAAATAAAAATAAATTAAATTTGGACCATCCACATAAGATATGGATGACTTAGATCTGATGAGCTTAGGGTGTTTATCACAATGATGAGCATCGAAACTGGTTCTCATTTTATGTAAGTTGAGATGAAATTTTTTTGACATATTCATCTCGTATTTCGTAAATTATGATTAAAAGCTACATATAAAATATTCTAAGTAGGCCCTTAATCATGATTTAGTTGCACATTGAGACACATATAATTTGAGAAAATTACTTTTAAGTGCTGCGAAATGCTCACAGAACTCTCGATCTCGATACCTTGTATTTAAATATAGTTCCATACTCAACTATTAAAAGAAAATCTTAATCCTCCGGCCACCACACAGCATTATGGTTCCCACTTGTTGATACACACACCACATAAACCTTAATAACTACTTGCAAGCCATGCGTCTCTAAAGCATATCCATTTGTATTACTGTAAATTATCAATGGGGCCCACCACTAATGCTGCAACATGATCTTTCAGCAGTTCAGCATATGTGTATCTGTCTGCAAAGTTTCCATACACAAGCTCTATTATGCTTGTGAAATTCACAACACAATCGAGCACAACCTTTGGAACAACATCTGGCTTCAAGTATTCTTCGTTTATATCTTTCCATGCATTATCTAAATCCTTTTGCAGAATTTGATAGGCCTCTTCTTCTGAAATCCCATGTTGATTCATCAAACATTATATTCCACTGCAGAAGCAACATGTACTCTCTTCCACTCAAACTACCA